AGAATCAAGGAATTGACGTGGAAGACTTTGGTATTCTAAACACAAAGATTGGAGCAAGGACTGTTCGTGATCAAAGAACTCAAGATATCATTCGAGTCGGCTTCCAGGTATTTTTTTCTGGGATCGAGTTCTTGATGTAAATTAATGCGATTAATTTATTCGTGCATAAATTAATATAATCCATAGAGTATCTCAAAATTTTTTCTGAAATTTTTGTTATACACGATCCGCCTCCCCGCCACGCTTTCGCACCCGAATTCGATTCGGGAACCAGTAGTTTTTGGCATGCGTAGAGGACATAAGATATGAGTGGGTCTGATGCTCTCCTAAAAGCATTACTCCGGAGCTTCTTCTTCATCTGCTGGTTCATACCCGGACGCAATATCATCGGCTCAACCTGACCCACGTATGAGTCGTTATTTAGAGAAATCGTACCGGTAACAAGTTAAGATTTATGAGAATCAGGTGAAGGTGTTAGAGTTGATGGCTAAATTGCCGCCCAACATCCAATTACCTACGATTGATCATCCAGAACCAGTTGACCTAGACGCTCCTCTGCCTCCTTCAAATGATGACGGTACTGATGATGATTCAGATGCTGACAATGCTGCAAACTTAGACGATTAGTTCCGTTATATGTACTTTTTATTTTTCACTTTATTTAGACTTTTATATTTTTTTTTAACATTATATATGCACTTCATGTAGTATTCATAATATATTTTATAAATTTATTTAAATTTACTATTTTTAATATTAATTCATATTTCACTTTTAATGTATCTTAATAAATTCTATTTAGTATGTAACATAATAATGTTTAATTAAAAATTAATTAATTGCCATTTTTTAAAAATTATAAAAAAAATTAATTTCATTTTTTTTTGCGATGACTTTTTTAGACTTGTCGTCGCAAAAAAAAAAAGATTATTTGCAACGACAATTTGAAATGTCGTTGCAAAAATAGATCATATCACGAGAAATTTGCGACAACGTATTAGCGATGATTATTTGCGACGACACTATGTCTTCACAAATAATTTATTTACGACGAATTATTTGCGACGACAATTTATGTCGACGTGTTGTCGTAAAAAACTTTATTTGCGACGACTTTTTGTCGTCGCAAAAATCTCTTTTTCTTGTAGTGAGGTCGACACGTGCATATGAAAGAAATTAAAGACTTCTCTTACGTGTCTTCAATTAAACCAAACGCTTCAATTGTATCAACCAATCAAAAGGAAGAGAGAGCTACTGCACGTGAAAGTAGGATTTATATCTAAAGCAAAGGCACAAAGACGTCGAGGTATGATTTATAGCCACTTTTATATATAACTAATAGACATGTAACTATTTGATTTTTTATTTTCTTCTTTTATACAACAGAGATCGAACATGCAAAATTCTCCTGCGCCATTAGACAAGAGGTCTTAAGCCTTTTTTTTTTAGATACTAGTTAAACTCTATGTGTATAGAGTAATTCGCGCGTTAAGTTTTAATTATCGCGTTATTTTTTTTAATTTATCTAATAGTAAGGATCTTAGTTTTTTAAAGTAAAATAAAGATCTTAGTTAGTTTGTTTGTTAATACACAATCAACACAAATATCTTTATAAGTATAGTATTAAAATAATAAGAATTATACAAGAACAGATTAAATAGAGACGCACCAGAAAAATTTATATATAAAATTTGAAGATAAAATCCCAAAAAGGAATCAAAATGGGAAAAAGAAACTTTTAGGGCAAGAAACAAAAAAAAGTTCCAAAAAAGACCAAAACAAAGAAATGAATAAGTTTTAGAGCATAATAAACTAAAAAGAAAAAAATAAAGTTGCAGTCCAGAAATAAAAAGGGTAAAAACGGACCAAATGAATAAATAAATAATTGGGTTAATCTCACAAATGGTCCTTGACATTTAGTCTCAATCTGACTTTAGTCATGACTTTTCAAATGTCGCACAGTTGGTCCCTTGAATTTTATTATGTTTCAGTTTTTTTCCTTCTGGTAGTTTGGTGTTAAATATTTGATAGAATTTGTAGAAATTATGGACTAAAATTGAAAACATATAAAGTTTAGAGACTAAAACGATGGAAATAACTAAAAGTTAATTTGTACAGATATACCTAAAATTGTAGCTGTTTCTATTTTTGGACTCTAATTTACACAGATTTTATCAAATTTTAACGCCTAATTGATGGAAAGACTGAAACTGAAATAAAATTAAACCTCAGGGGACATTATATGCGATGTTTGAAAAGTCATGGACTAAAGTGAGACTGAGTGTAAATCTCAGGGACCATTTGTAGAATTAACTTAAATAATTTTTAAGGCAAAAAGAAAAAAAAAATACTGGACTAAAACAAAAAGAGTGAGGAGGTGTATGGTTTCGATCAAAATACGAAGAAACAAAAAAAGGCCAAAAAGGATCAAAACAAGAAATAAATAAGTTTTAGGTAAAAAAGAACCAAAATAGAAAAACTAATGTTTTAGGAAAAAAAATTAAAAAGGTTAAAAAAGTACTAAAATGAAGAAATAAATAATTTTTTAGTTAAAAACAAAATAATAAAATAAAATACCGGACTAAAACAAAAAAAAGAGGAAAAGGGTGTATGGTTTCGATCAAAGCTAGAAGAAACAAAATAAAGGACTAAAATGAAGAAATAAATAGAGTTTTAAGGTAAAAAAATTAAAACGAAAAAAAAAATCAGGGCAAACCTATTAAAAAAAGGTTTAAAAAGGACCAAAATTAAAAATATAAAATTTAAGAGTAAAAAGAAAAAAAAAAGCATTTTGGTGAAAAATACAACATTCTCTATACATATATAGATATACAGATATATATACAGTTTTAACTTTTTCATTAATAAATTATTTATTTCCATACAAAATATAGTATGCAAATATTGGTATGTGAGGATTTCAAAAAGATAAAATCATCATCACTCATGATTGGTATTATAGTCGTAGTCTAGTAGTCTACCAGGAATTCCTTTGTATTCTTCCAATGTCCTCTTCCTCCATATTCATTTTCTTTTAATTATAGTTGCGGTTGCTTTCGCACCAGCAAGATATGGACGGCGAAGCCATAACTACACTAAACAAGCGAGCAAAAAACTCCTGTATTAAGAGGTGTACAATCTGTATATTTCACCTGTAGGGCTGTTAACTTTCTAAAAGTAAATGTTATTGACATGATTTTAATTTCTGTTATAATATTTTCTCTCATAAAAAATTTAAATTAAAAAAAATTTTCGACAATAGATTTTTTCACAAAATCTAAATTCAAAATCACAATTACTAACTCAAATACGTGAACCAAACAACCCACAAATGTTTAGAGCCAATTGTAAAATTAACCTTTTAAACTAGAAAGGGACGAAAATACAAAAGCATAGAATGACAACACTATGACCACAAAATGATAGTCAGTGGTGGGACTCCAAGAAACATGACGATCAATGACAACACTTTAAGGCCTTGTTCGTTTTACAGATTTAAGTTTTTAATTCGAGTTGAGATATGATATTTTCTGAGAGTTTTTAACTGTAATAAACAAAGTTAGATGTGGCATCTTATGAGAGCTTTTAACTGAAAAAACTTAAAACTGAAAAAAAAAATCGGTGAAATGAACGAGACTTAAAAGATTTACAGATCGTAGTTGAAGATAATAAATTGCCTCAAATAAAGCGGATTTCAATTTTCCTAATTTCTAAATTTTATTTAGAGATGCATTAAGGAAAAGATAGTGAGAACAAACCCTTCCAATGATGAGAGATACAAGCCAGTATACTATGTTGATGTTAAATCTTGTCGGATTGAAATTTGACTTGTGACCCAAAAAAAGAACAAGGTGGGACAACCCCAAGGTCAAAAGAGTTCTTTTCTGAAATTCCAGTAAATGTTACCCTTTATATTTCGATTAACAAATATTCTCAACATTCTTATGTTTAATCTTATATTTCGAGTATATAAAGGATGTTTTTAGCATTATGTCTCCCTAAAAAGTGACATCTTATATAAACGACAATAACATTAGGAAAACGACAGCATTAATATAGGAAGCGTAAATAAGAAATGAGATTAATTCATGTGAACGACAACATAGTCACCCAACAATATAAATATGAGAAGGAAACGTAAACAAGAAAAAGCGACATCCGTTAAAAAGGACATCTAACTGCGACAATAAATTTAATTTGATAGATTTATTTTTTGATAATTAAATTTTATATGATAGATTAAAAAATGAAAAACGATAAAGGGAAGGGAAATCTCTCTAAACGGCATTTATCATAAACGACAGCGAATTAAAAAACGACACTAAATTTGGAAAACAAGTTAAAAACGCTAATTTCAAAACGATAATATCAGAACAAAATCTCGTAAAAAAACATTAGAATAAAGAAGACATTATTAAACCATCCCTAGTGTACAAAAATAACTTTGAAACGACTAAAAGTAACATCTTACAAACGGTAACAACTTTCTAACGACAAGGACATCATAAACGACAATGTTACTTTTTCCCCGTGCCTCTTAAGAACTTTGAAAATCAATGCATGCACTTATTCGTAAAAAGTACCATTCTTCTGTCCATTATATTCTGCCCATATAAAGTTGACATGGCACTTACTTGTTAAAGAATTAAAGCTTTATTTCAACTGAAAATACACTTAAATATAGATTTGTTCTTCAGTTTCCAGTCTATCCAAACTCAATCTCACCAATATATATTTTTTTTTTTCTCTATCTTACTTTTACAGTGGAAAGTATTGACTATGATTACACAAATATAGGTCGAGGATATAACAATAGTAACAGCAAGAAATTGTTACAATTTACAACACTGGCAAAAAAGAAAAAAACGAACTTAATTTATGTGAAAAAAGAGAAAAAATAAAAAGAGCCAAATCCACAACCATATCTTGCTCACTGAACCACATAGAAGATGGTAATCATTTTCAAACACCATAGAAGTGCACATATTTCAATGCTTCTCTTAAGTCCCACGTCAGTATTTCTCCTTTTCATTTTTGAAAACCATCCTTAACTGATATGGCAGTGTGATCTTTTTTGTTGCAACCACAACAAAACGACATGAGTATTTTTTTTTTTTTTCTTACTAAAAAGGACTTCTTTTTATCTAGCTAACTTATCTTGGATGGGAAATTGGTATTCCCTGAAGCTTCAGCAATGGAAACTTGAACTTCATCAATGCCGTTATTTGATGGGGCATCATCATAATCGTCATCATGATCATGATCAAGATCAGGGGATGTAATAGCTGAGCACTGACTCTTGAACAGGCTATTACTTTTTCTCTGTTGCTTGTCAAACATCATCTTTAGTTGCCTTCCTTGTTCTTCAATTTGGAGTTGTAAATTTCTCTGAATCTGTTGGGAAGGACTAAACATTGTAAAGCATTCAATAGTAGAGTTTTACATGCCTCTTAGAGTATACGAATAACGTCTCATATCATAAAATAAAAATGATATACACTGTAAAAAGTTTTAATAGGTACGTCTAGAATGCGCGCATATCAAAATTCTGTGAAATTGCTATTTTATTACAGCGTTTTTACTCTTCGTAACTTATATTTTAGTTCATATGATAATTATGAAACTACTTTTTCATGATGTACATCATTTTTCATCATAAAATCATCTTTACGACTGACTTTTGATCCCAAGTGACATGACAAATGAAATAACCTTTCTTAACCGGTAAATAAAATATGCACATTAGCACTGGCAACACCTCCCTCTAAAATTTTAAGTTGAAATGCTTATTTCTAGTTTGACTCCAGCCTTGAAAGAGGCCCCTGTTTTTAACCAAGTCATTGTAGGTGTTTTGCCTTGTAATTCATAACTTTTGTCTTAATATTCTAATATTTGGACTGAGGAATATAAAAACCATACCTCTAACTGCTCATGAAGGCGTCTCTGCACGTCTAATTGTAGTTGCAGTGCCTCTTTGATCTGCAAGCCACTGTCCAGGAAGCCCAAAAAAAAAAAAAAAAAAAGGAAAAAGTTAAATTCTCATTTAAAAAAGATAAATCTCTTAACATAGCTAAATGAAGAACTCAAAAAATCAGAAGAGAAAACAAAAATTAAAAAATAGAGTAAGGCGTTACGTTGTCGCTTCAAGCTGCGGTGTGACATTTATGCAAGCCCTTTTTTCAGATTTTCCTGCAAATAGAAGACACTCTTTACATATAAGATACTGATAATGTAAACCACATAGATGACATATAGAAATTCTTGAATGAGAATTGTGGTAATCTTCTCAAGTAACTAATAAAACAAAGTGTACTCGCAGAAGTTCAAAATCTTTACACTAAAACAAAACAAGAATGGTATAGTTAAACTTAAAAATTTACTTGAAATCTTTTGTGCCTTCTTTGTTTTGTTTAGATTTGAACATGTAAATCTAAATTAATCATTCTACAAGCTTTAAGCTCTTTAGATCATAAGGTTTCTAAACACATAAATTCATCTGACTCGCCATTCTTTTCAACATCTTTTAAGGTTTTTTTTTTTTTTGGCGCTTTGAAGTTAAAGATGTTTTCTTAGTACTAAAAGATGTAAAAAAAAAAAAAAAAAAAAAAAAAAAAAAAGAAAGAAAAGTGGCAATTAGTATTTCATGAACTTTATCACCAAGTTTGTTGGCAAGATTTACCTTCAGAAGAGTCTGGCAGATATTTTGCAATCCGATATTTCTACAACAGAAACAAAGAAAAAAGGACAAAGTATGATTAAGAATGGACAAAAACAAATAAGAAGGACAAATACTAAAATCTCTTGAATTGAAATTGATACCTGCAAATGACTTTTGATATGATAGATTGTTAATCCCTCTGAATCCATAAGCTTCAGTATTGCTTTAGGGGTCGCCTCTATAAGTACAAAATCAGCAAAAAAGGAAAAAATATCACTCAATTGATTATCAATTCTTCTATTTGTTAATCATTTTACCAAAAAAAAAATGATTAACACAAAAAATAACTTACTCTCAGCACCCCCAAGGCGATTTACACACTCCACAAACTTCTCATGAAGATCCTGAGTCCATCTTATTCTTGTTTTGCTAGAGATTCCGGGCCCGGTTGAAGCAGTGTTAAGAGTAATAGTACTAATACAACCATTTCCAGAGGAAAATCTTGGAGATTGCTTCTCTTGATGACAAGCAAAATTTAGCTGCGAAATCGGAGAATTAAACGAGCCACAATAGCCCTACTCAAAGGAAAAAAATCGAGTAAAAATACCAAAAACCAAAAATTCCCAAAAGAAAAAAAAAAGGATTGAAACATTAAAAAAATTAATAATAAAGACATTGGCATACCCCAAGATCCTGATTTTCTTTTGAAGGGACAGAAAACTGCCTCCTAATTGATGATGCGGTAGTAGCAGTATCAATATGAAGCTTATTGCGTTGATCATGTCCAAAGGATGGATGGGGTTTCACCATTGGTTGAAGGGAATTTCGGAATTCGAAATTTGGCTCGGATTGGTCATTGGTGTCAATGGAATAGTTCTCAGCAGAAGACTGGTGGCCTGAAGAGAAGTGTGAATTCAAGGAAGGATTGTCATAACAAACTTGGGAATCATATTCAGCAAATCTCATGCATCTTTCAGTGGCATAGAAGGCTGAAGCGGGTGATTCGAAGCAGCTTATCATGATGGTTGATGAGGAGGATTTGTCGCTGTTGTTGTTGTTGTTGTTGTTGTTAACAGGGCTAACAAGATTTTGGAGCTGAGATAGCCTTGCCTGATTATCCATGGTGCAGGGCTGCTGTCGAGTCCAAATTCCCATGTTTTCCGGGTGGTTTTGGACTCCGAAAAGATGGGAAGATCGGGGAACGAATTCGAAGCTGCGGTCTGTGATCTTTAGTCCATGGTTTTGCTGAACTTGATTTCTTCCTTGGCAAGCAATCTTGTGATCGTTCATTTACAGATGAGTTCAAAAAAAAAAAAAAAAAATGCAAGAGAAAAAAAAAATGTTTTTGTCCCAAGAAGAAGGTCAAGATAGAAAGGAAAACAGTAGGCAATATTGAATTCAGATTATAAGGCATGGGAATTCCTCTGATATATTCTTAAAAAAATGAGAAAAAAAGAAATAAAAAAACTTCAAGCGTAAGCTTTGTATTGTACAGAAAGCACTATATATCCAATGCACTAAAAATATTCTTTTTAAAAAAAGGTAATGGAAAAAAAAAAATTGTGGGATGCCCAATGCTGTTATTGATATAACCAAAGAACAAAAAACATTTAGAAGAGAACACAATATTATATATGAAAGCTTTTTAGTAACTATTATTTGTTCTTACATGAACATCAGAATAATAGTGCTTACTCTCCCTAAAATAAAAAATGAAAAAAAGTAATTAAATGGGGTTCTAACTAGAAGATAAAATGATTCCCGAATTCAAAAGTATATATCTAGATAAATAAATATTTTATCATCTGAAAATTTGGAATTGGGGGAATAATGTTGTGGGCATCTATGGCTTCATAATTTAATATGAGATACTGGCATAAATGCAATATAACAGATCTTACATTATTCCTATTGTGGATACGGATGAGTCACTTTTGCCCACCCAGAAAGGTGAAATAAAATAAAAAGAAAAAGAATTTTGTCTCAAAAGGAAAATTGAATTTTACTGAAATAAAATAAAAATAAAAAGAATTTTGTCTCATAAAATTTGCATCTCCTAAAGTGGGCATATGAAATTACCAAAAATGCTCATTCTAGTAAAATCAGAATGGAATTCTAACCATAAGATTCCCCAAACGTGCTGAAAAAACCACGTAAAAAAGAACTTAATTTCATCCACGAGAACAATCTTTTTAGGGATCACACTAAAAAATGTTCAGCACAAACAAGTATCAGAATAGTAAATTAAGGAGAACTAAAATCAAAGATGGAGAATCTTGGTAGGGTTTTATTTCGTTTTTTTTAATTATTTTTTTTTTTATCTGCAGTCAACTGTTACATGAATAATCATCCAACTCCTAACTTATTGCCGTATTTACATAAATGACCGCTTCAAGCTACTGCTGGAGCCTGGATGAGTGCAAGACTGGAGCCTAATCCTATATATACATACACATGTAATAATTAGACTATATAGTAAGTTTTTTTTTTTTTTTATACACTATATAGTAAGTTTATGAGAGTGGAGTTGATATTTTTATATATTAATTCTAGGGACATTGATATTTATCAACAAAATTATAATTATACAGTTGTATACATAGTATCGTGGTAATTCAACACCTGACCAGACTATGTCTACAAAGTATTGAATTCAAGTCCCAACCCTTGATTTTAAAAAAAAAAAAAAAGAAAAAAAAATTATAATTGTGTTCTCATAGTCTCACTCAATAACATAAATTTTACAATTATTTTTTTTATTTTTCACAATTACAAAAATATTCAAACTTGAAAATATATGTATATATATATGTGTATGTATATGTATTACCTAAGTGAACATTTGATTGACCAAGGCAAAAATGTATGATTTATCAGGTAACTAGTTAATTTATGTAGATAAACAATTTATTTTGTCAATATTTAAAAAGATATTTTTCTAATCGACCACCACCTACAACTTTTCAACTATGAGTATACTAGCTATTTCCTAATTTTAACTAGCAAACGTCCCACGCACTAGTTTACTATGTAGATTATGAAAATGCACACATCCCGGACACTTTAGTTTTACATATCTTTATAAACCGGGTTGATTATCTTTTTAGCACCATAGAAACATAAGTATCTTAAGAATAACACTGTTGTTGATTATTATTATTATTATTTGAAATCGATTATTTTCTTTTGTGTAACTATTATATCAAATTCTTCTACTGGTATTTTTTTTTAGAAAAAAAAAAAAAGAACTCTACCTTACAATCCACCTCGAATAGTAGGAAAAGAAAGAGAAAAGATGCATTGGATTCTTTGATTGATTATATGACTTTAAAAACGCTTATCAACCTCATTCATGCTACTCAAATTCCATTGATTATCTCGCAATATGGATATTTGTCCCTTTTTTTCTTTTTTTCTTTTTCTTTTTTTTTTTCCTTGTCCTTGAGACTCTCACCAACATGACTTGGTTCTTGACTTATCAAAATAGCTAGCAACAAAACAATAATTAATTAACATGTTAAAAGTGTCAAATACTTTAATCATATTGTCCCGTTTATTTCGCTGATTCGAGTTGAGATGTGACTTTATGTGAGAGCTTTTTACTGTAGCAAAAAAGTTAAATGTGATTGTTTGTGAGAGCTTTTTACTGTAGAAAAACTCGAATTCTAAACTCGAATCAACGAAGTGAACGGGACCTAATTACTCTTTATATATGCACGACTAAACAAAGACAAAGTACTAATTAGATAAGAATACAGAGTGTAAACGAACAATAATCAAAGTTAACAAACACTAGAATACCTGGCATTTTCCATTAAGCCAACTTATGATGCCGCAAATCAAAACAAAAGTGTCATTAAGTCGCGACTCGCAATCCCTGCTTGGGAATCTCCGGTCGCCGATTTATTATTTCCCTAAAGAGATTAAGAATTGTTAATCTTCATTAATTTAAAAGGCTATCAATGATTGGATAGCCGAAAATTTCTAATTAGTATAGTTTTTGTAATTGCCCATATATGTCATTATCAGTTGTAGGCAGTAGCGAATCAAATGCCTACAAGTGTTGACTCTAGAAGGCGGAAAGCTCGATCACTTGGAAAATTTTCAGTCTCTTTTGATTAAGACAGAGGAATAATTCTCAGAAAGAGGAGGGAAATTAAAAGAAAAAAATAAAATGGTAAAATAAAATGATTGTAACACAGGAACCATCAAGTTCACATTATTGTGTCCTGAATCAGTCAAAAGTAGAATCAGTCAAAAGTGCACAAACTTTTTCTCTTTGCTTCTCAGACCTTTTTTTCAATGGAAATAGGATTTTCATTCAACAACCAAATTGGGAATTACATGGCTAGCAATAAACTTTGGAGAATTTTCAGTCCCTTTAATCTTTGAAAAGTGGACTTTCATTGAACTTTGCTTCCATATTTTAAATGTAGGAAGTTTTTATTTTTAAGTGTCACTATGGGTATAATTGAAGGGGCGTTTTAAGATACTTTTGTAATTTATTTCCTCTTTATAAGAATTTGAGATACTATCTTGTTGAACTTGGTAAATAAAAACTTCCTGCATTTTTTAAATTAGATATTCGGTTATGAAATCATTATTCTTATAAAAAGACTAGTGATGATATTATACTTATTGTTATAGCAAATGAAATTACAACCACATCACAAATTTACTTATTAGCGGATATATTTAAGAAAGTTGTTTCAAAATTCCCGTATTTATAGATTAACTGATTAAGAGAGCTTTTATTATAGCGTCACCAAAAGCTATGCTTGCATGCATTTTCTAAACATATACACTATTTAATGTTGGAAGCATTAGTAAGTTTTAATTTTTATAAACTCTTCAAATTCCATTAAAAAAAAAAAAAACTCATTCGGGGAATAGTATAAGTTGATAAATGTAGGAAGTTTTTATTTACAGAGAACAACAAAAGAGAATCTCAAAATAACTGTATCCCACTACCACTTTAATTAGTTTATATTTTGGTTATTTAATTACAACAAATTTGCTCCTTAACTAAATCTCATGTGACATTTAAAAGTTGACACAAGGGGCATTTTGCATATAAACAAAAATTTAGGAACTATAGGCAATGTAGATAGAAACTTGGGGACCAAAATAATACAGAAGTTCGCAAGGCACTAGTGACATAACCCTTATTCTAATGTCGTAAATGGTAGTAATTTTTTAACGGATTCGCTCCACGAATGGGATGGATCAGGATAAGCATGCCCTTTTAACAAATAAGATATATATATATATATATATATAATAGCCAAAAAACCGACTTTGGAATTTGAGAACCCTGTTCCATGTCTCAGTCTAATAAGAATTCACGGGTACTTTATTGCTTGGTCTAAATATGGGCAAAAATATTCTGGGATAAATTTCCTCTCCCGTCCAATTTTTTTTTTTTTTCTTTTTCCTTCGCATAGTATAGGGTTCTTATACCACATTCACACACACACACACACATATAGTAATTAGGGTTGTATTATAACTTCTAGTTAAGAGATTAGCTAGGATTGCTAGGGTTTGGGGATATTATAAGTACGTTGTGTCTTGTTTTACTATGGTATTATTAGTGTTTTCAGTTAGAATAATATTATGGACACTAACTTAAACGCAAATTCTTATCAATTAATTATATAAGAAATTACATATATATAACACACAAACTACATTAGTTGGAGCGTAAAAGTTGAAATTTAAGTTAGTATTCCTAGCATTACCCATAGTCAAACCATGTTAAGAATTAGTCACACTAGTTCTGCATTACTAAGAGCAACAAGACCGCATAAGAAAATCAATTAAAACAAGCAAATATATATAAATTTATAGTGATTTATACTCAACGTGAAAGTTATGTTCATTTGTAATCACTGTAGGAAATTCTCTATGAGAAAATAAATAAGTTTACAAGAGAAAATCACATACCACGCTAAAAGCAATGTCCCCTTATATAAAAGCTAGCACGATGCAAAAGTAATAACGGACTAACCATGATGATTAGACCCCACAACTTAACAATGGACTGGATATAGTAGAGATAAATGGTTATCTACTAATATTTCTTACGGTTGAGCAGTCATTTTTATGGTAAGAAGATGAGAAAATTTCAGTCCAAAACTAACCGCAAGGTGGAGTCGTTATAATTGTGGTGTTATTGGCCATATACCATGTGATTCATAATGTGAGAATTGCTACAGTATTAGTGGTAGATCATCATTCTTACAATATAATTAGTGTGTTACATATAATCATTTATATTTCTTTCTTTT